CTTTCTTTCTTTCTTTCTTTCTTTCTTTCTTTCTTTCTTCTTTTTTTACTTATTTGTCACTCTATTTACAATTCAGATGGGAACTATTATATATCTAAATTGCAGCTTTTATCCTATTATTATTAAGATAAATTGGATGTTTTTTTACGAAGTCTTAAATGTCAGTTATCTGTTGAGATAATGAAGCTGTGGCGGATGTAGGATGTAGGGGGGGGGTTGATTGGGTGCAAATGAACCCCCCCCCCCCCTCAACCGGCTGGTACCTTGGATTTTTTATATTTTTTAAAATAAATAAATAAATAAAAGCATGGTACTAACTCATGAGATCTAATATGAAATGGGACTGGTGGATAGGCTATCCTTATCAGGAGTGCCCCTAGGCCAGTGATGTGCCTCATGGRAAAAATGATGATGCAAGAGAACGTTGTTGTTGTGGCGAGATTTGCAAAAATGAACCCCCCCTCTTAAAGTCCTGGATCCGCCACTGTGAAGCAAGACGGCTTGCTGCGTATGAAATAATGGAACTAGTGGCATATGACTATAGAATACTCAAGTTTCTAGTTCTCTGTGTCATGTGTTCCAGTTAAGGTCCGTGGAATATCAAAGTGTTTGTATCGTTAATCGAAGTTGTGCATTTTAACTTTACCACTGTTATTTGAGTTGGGGTGGTACGCCCAGTGCTGTAATCAAGGAACACAGCGGTAATCTAGACGTCGAAAATATAGTCTATTTGACCCAAACCAACTGAGCCATTTATTTACAATTACGACTTACGACCATGCGAAATATTATACAAATGATATTTAAATATTATCCCGATATTCACTGAGGCTGAGGCAAATAATTGTTTTAGTATAAATACACAGTTGATTCTTTCAAAAAAAAAAGAAGAAGAAGAAGAAGAAAAATGGCATTTTTTCCGGTAGCAGCAACAAAGCGAGTGGCCGCCATTTTGGATTATCGCTGGAGGTGATTATCGTGTGATAGTGTGAGTTTCTCGACCAATCAGCGCGCGAGATTTTCAATAATCACCTGTGTATGTTTACTAATTCAAATTACTAGTTGCTAACGCATGCAATGGGTGCAATAGAAACATGATTTTCACTTTTTGTGATATTGGCCGCCATCGTTGTGCTCCTCAATAGGACATATAGATGGCGGGCCCATACTTTTCAACTGAATTATGGGTATAATCAATTCAGTCGTATCTTCGTATCTAAAGCTTGTTTTAGCTAGAATGTTGGATGATATATATAGTTTTAGTTGCTCTTCGGTCTGTGGAGGTTTCGTTGTATATTAGTCTTAGGACAATTTTCGATGACGTAGGTCAACGTCAGGAATTGATAGTAAGGCGTGTAAATCCTCCGCTATAAATAGTATAATTGTGAATGAGCATTTAGTTAAAGATGCGAATAACATTTCTTCAAGCAATTTTTTTTTTACAATAACTGACAAATTTCTCGCGTGCTGATTGGTTAATTTTTATCATCAATAAGAGGACAGACAGATAAAGCTGACGTCAACGAGCGCGCGCTCTTTCCGTTAGTTGTTTTGATCAGTAAAAATGAGAAGTTTTTATCGTTTTTGTTATTGTAAAAAACAAATTGACATCAGATTTTTATGTGTCTGTCCTCTTATTGACAATAAATTGCGTCATCACATTTTCAAAGTAGTATGCGGATCCACTCGGCTACGCCTCGTGAATCCACACTACTTTGACAATGTGATGACGCAATTTATTGTCAATAAGAGGACAGACACATAAAAATCTGATGTCAATTTGTTAACTTTGAAACAAATTCCGAGCTCCAAATCTTCTGTTTGCTAGTCACACGCTTTGACCAACTGAACTACTGGAACTTATATTGGTGAGCGAGGTGTGGATGGTACTTTTTAAGTATTAAGTTATTCTATCGCATTACTTTGTTGCCCGATCAGCCAATATGTCTTCATTTTTCCTTTACCCTGTAGACGAATCAATAATAGTTTTGATTACTATGCGACATAACAATAAGAGCACACTATGAACCACGCACCAATGCCAATATCCATAACTTTCTTATAGTGCGCACTAGAATGATTGACAATGGTGATCAAATGTGAGGATCAATGAATCAACTTCCGGT